GGAGCCAGGATCTCATCCTTCCAGAGCAATGCTTTACGCTGAGGAAGCGAGAAAAGGTTCTTTGTTCCGGAAGCAAGGCTGAGGGATGCCGCCGTTGGAGCCCCGTCATCTAGATAGAGTTAAATGCTGGCTCCTTGGGGCGTTACAGCCATGTTTTGGGCCGTCTCACACGTTGATGCCACTCGCTGCCCCACAGATCACTGGCTGTCCGAGAGTGCGAGAGATACGACGGTCCTCGAGGTGACCCAAAAACGTGGCCGAGGACCAGATTGCCGATTCTACCGATGAGCCATGCCTGCAAGTCAGTCTTATTTTGGCATAGACCGAGCTCTCCTCGAGCGCATAGCCTCCCTATGACACGGCTGCCCATCTCAAATTGCTCCATTTTCGGGGAGAAATCTGCCCGGTCAACCCTGCAAACTCCGCAGTCGAGTGTGCTTGGCTCCGTCAAGCGGCCGGGTGCAACTCCCGGCTAGCTGCTGCTGCTATCGAACTGATATTTATCAGATCGCTAAGCTGGCTTGCGCTACTTGACTTTGACCTGTGCACTTAAATTCATCCTCGAGCCGTACGGTCTTGGGATAAGTCATATCAGGCTTTCCAGGAGCAAGATCCAACAGTGTCCTTCCTCTGAACATCGATCCAGGCCTCGTATAAACGAATCCAAGACGACTCCGATTCTTCCGGAGTCCAGAAACACTGGAGAATGTCGCAGCTACCACACGGCCTCATTGCCTTCGGGCCTCAAGCAAACTGTACCCTCGAGCTCTGCCCTATCGAATGGAGTATTCTCAAGTATCAGCCCTCGCAGGCTGCTAGCGGAGTCTTCATCGGCATTTTCGGTCTTACTCTTCTTCTACATGCTGTCCAAGGCATTTGGAGGCGTACCTGGGGTTTCATGGTGTGCATGGTGTGCGGGTGTATCCTCGAGATTGCTGGATATGTCGGTCGTTTACTGATTCACGACAACCCATTCGACTTCAATGGCTTCATTATGCAAATTGGTTCGTATTATGGTGCGGTTTCCTACGCTTCTATATGCTGATCTCATCTATGAACATAGTTTGCATTACCATCGCCCCTGTCTTCTATTGTTCAGCCATCTACGTTACCCTATCACAAGTGTAAGTCTGAGAAGTCTGAGAAATTCCTTACTGCTCACTCCCCCCAATGGATAGCTCTAGGGGGACAATGGGATCATATCTAATACTAACTACGTCTTATCCAGTATCAACGCATTAGACACCTCGATCTCCCGACTGAAACCAGCGCTCTTCTACTGGATCTTCATCCCTTGCGATATCGTCTCCCTGGTCTTGCAGGCCGCCGGCGGTGCTCTGTCCTGCCTTGCAACCACTAAGGATGCCGTCCAGGTCGGCGTGAACATTTCTTTGGCCGGTCTCGTCTTCCAGGTCTTCACCCTCATCTGCTTCTGCATCCTCTTCGCCGACTATCTCCTGCTTGCCAAGAAGTCCTCATGGAACCGCGTCGACAAGCCCATGAAGTTCTTCCTCTCCTTCCTTTTCTTGTCCATTTTCTTTGTCCTGCTTCGATGCGTCTACCGTATCGTGGAGCTCCATGATGGATACTTTAGTGAATGGTTCCGAGATGAGGATCTCTTCATCGCCCTCGAGTCAGCGTAAGTTTTGACAAGATTCCGCATCTCCCCGTTGCTACCACAATGGAGATTGGATTTGATGTGACTTTTACTAACTTATGGCTCCTCAGAATTATGGCAGCTGCTGTCATTTCCCTCAACATCGGTCATCCTGGACCTGTCCTTGGCAGGAAGAAGGGAAGCAGGTTCGACGAGAAGCAGGGAGACATTTCTTCTTCTTCATAAAAGCAAAGAAGTTCTCGCATCTCTTATTTTCAAGTTATTTTCGATTATATACCATTCAATTTCATAGGAAGGAGTATCACAGATCTAGAGGCCGTGGGCTGCATAGAGACAGCCAGACATTGACTTTTATAGATGAATTTCAGATAATACCACTACGGGATCTCTTTACGAATACAAGAACAATGTTCCTTTTTCCTGTTCATCCTTTAGATTATTGAGTACTAATAGTAAGAGACAATACAGCATACATTGCCACTTGATTTCTTCTTATACTACTGAAACTCTCTACTCATCATAAAAAGTAGTCTATTTATCATGACTTCTCTTGTCTGATTCATACCGGGTATCCTAGTCGTCGAAGTACCCGATTGATATCCTCTGCCGTTGCCTCCGATGGAGGTTTCACGGCTGAACTTTCCGTCTGGCTTAACAGCTTCCTGAAGAAGGGGAGGTGCATCTTCCAATATCCTCCAGGATCTTGCCAATACTGGAGTGCAGGATGTCCGTCATCTGCGATGTACACCTCGCCATTCAGCTTCCGCACATAAGGTCTGAGTTCGAACGAGGGCAGCCATTTTGGCTCTCGCAGCAGCTGGCCAGATTTACCCCACGGAATCTGGATGTACGCTGGGAAAACGAATCGCGGACCTGACTTTTGGAAACCAAGAGCCATGGGATCTCCTCCGAACGCCCTCGGTAGCATGTCACCAACAAACATCTCCTCTACAAGCTGCCATATCCGTCTGCGATTGAATAGACCCGGAGGGACATATTCTAAATCGTCATAGTATCCCGTGGTTCCCCAGAGAGTCTCGGGGCCACAAGCCCCTGTTCTCTCGTCTGACCTGAAACCACTGGTCAACGGAGTGCCGTCGGGCACGTCAGAGAGCACGCCGAAGTCGACTCCCCTGCTCAATTGGCGGAAAAGAAGCTCCCAGTTCCACTCAAAATCCCGACCTCCAGGGCAGGATTCCTCTGCTTTTTGGAGAAACACTTCGGCCGAGAGTTCCCAGAGCCAAGGTAGTGCGTCGGGTCGCAATAACTTCAACCAGAATGACTGGGGAAGCAGGCCGGTGGTGACACGGGGAAGGTCCCGGCAAGGCAAGGAGTCGACAATCGCACTTTGCAGCTCTAACGGAAGGCTAAAGAATCTCGTTTCGAAAGAAGTGCGCTCACGGCAGCGTACTGGCTTTAGGCTAAGCAGTAAGGAGTCTGTTAAGTTTTCAATCTGGAGTGGATTAGTCCCAAAGAGCTAACAATATCCATTCCTAGGTCAGCTGGCTCTCTCTGAAGAATGTGAAAAGGGGTTAAGGCGAGTTGCGGTAGCATACATCGGGGAGATTCTCTTGCGGCGTGGCATACGGACCTGGCCATGCGCGGACGGGGTTGAACTCCCTCATCCGGACTTGAGACTTCCACTCTTCCCAGTTGATATGAAAGTTTGCCTTCCCGATCACGTAGTTCGGGGGGAACTCCCTACTTGCTGGCCCTTCACACTTGAGCTTCATGCTCAGTCTCCACCCCAGAGCTAGACATAAAGCTCTCAGGTCCCTGATATATGCGTCGCGAGGCGAGGTCCCGAAGACTTTTTGGGCAATTTCCAGACAGACCTCATGGACTGGAAGGTAGATCCGGTTATCGAACGTACGAAATGGCAAGTCTCCAGGGCGATACACAATATCCCGCCTAGTACCATCAGGTAGCAGTAATTTGTAGTGGGAGACAGCATGGAACACGCCTTGGTGTACCTCGATGTCTGCGGCTTCAGACCGTGGTCGGAACCCATCATGGGCTCGAGCCTCGGCATACGTGGAGGTACAAGGTTCAAAGATGTTGTTGTATTTCAGGGATGGAGCAAGGCTCCCGAGTTCGTCGTCCGGGTCGCAGAGAAGCCGGATGTCCGACCACCAAGTGGATCTGGATGCCAGCTCGTGCTCCCACCATGAGTGGCCTTCTGAGTTGACGAACTCGTGGTTTTTGAGCCCGCAAATGAGGCAGCTCGTCATCATGCCGATAAGCGGCGGGACGAGTGTAAGTGAGGCAAGTCAGGGAGGTAAACTGACAGTCGGTTAGTCAATCCAAGACTGGTCTTAGCAAGACGACTTGGGTTATAGATAAAATTCTCTCGTATAAGAGCGATCCAACAAGAGAAGTAGCAACAGAGTTCAAGAGAGGAGGATTTAATGAGAAGGAACAACCTATCACACCTAATAGCAACAGGGGAGGGGTACAAGACTGGTTATTGTACCTCGATGTCAGCAATGAAGAGAAGCGAAGAAACGGCAGGGCTGAAACTAGGCTTGCCCATAAATGTCTCGTCATTTAGTTGGGCTGCCATATTTCGTACGTATTTGGTTGCGAGAGGCGATGGGTTAAGTGTGGATGAGGCACCGCGCTAGGAATGTATGAGACTGCTTGGATTCACACCGGAGTCAACCAAAGGACTTTAGCGAGGCTCAGTTTTGGCGTTGTTGGACAGAGAAAACACGACTGAGTTTTCAGTTGTTTCTGTCCCGTTTTTATGTCCATCTTGCTCTTCTTCTCAGCCACCCGACCTATTCAATTCACCTCTCGACAGTCTTTCCGTCTCTCTTAGACTGGTGCTCATTGTCGAAGCTCGCTGGCGGAACAAAGCCAGTGTTGTTGACCCATTCTGCCCTGATTCTCCTAGAAGCTCGTCTTCCTCCGTCAGGGAAGGGGCCTGAAGCGCAGTTCTGGACAACACAACGCAGTCGATTGATGCCGCGTGATCCCTCATCGGTGCTGTTCCTGCAGCGTGGGTTCAGAAGTCCCGATGTTGGTACGGTTTTTGGGCCGCTTCGGTGTCTTGTTGGTGGACTTGGTGCAGCGTCACACCAGGTAACCAACAGCAGCCCAACCCTTCATGTTCGATTGGGGCCTCCTCTTCGAGTTACTTCATGCTTTTGACTTGCCATGTCACCACACGTCGTCAATCGATCCATCCACCATCGTTCTTATCACCATCACATCGCATGCAGGATGTGGGGAAGGTGAACAGCCTTCTCGCGCCAAGACAGCCAACCATGCGTACGAGTTCGACATGGATTGGTTGATAGATTGATTCATTGAATCGAACGATCGTACCCGGTCTGTTTTGCAAACCGCCCACCCCACACTTCTTGAGTGTGGTTTCAATATGGGCATGGACAGCTCACCTGGCGGCCAAACAGAGAGGCCGGTCTCCTCTCGTTTCACTGTTGGTCGCCCTTACACTCTTCACGTGGACATCCTCAATTCCCCAATGGTCTCGGCGCAGGCGGATAACAAGCTCGGCAGCGAAATCATGTTCCTAGGCCGCTACTCCCACGGCCAGATAGCTGCCCGATCTCCCCTTGGAAGCGCGATTTGCATCCTCAAAGGCTGGCAGCCGCCCTTCTGGCACCATCAAGCGGGCGAGACTACTCAATGGTCCGATATCGCGTCATTATAGGACCTTGATACCGCAGTTACACTCGGCCGTGGGTGAAATAAAACATGGCACACCAAAGCTCTTTTCGCATGAGGCAGGGACCTCGTTTTTAACTAAACACAATAAGAAGAAAATAATAAGAGAATAATCAACTATTCTATGCTATTTAGCTTGATATTGTATTCTGTACAGGGTTATTTATTGTGATATTGTGTTGAAATCCATTGCTGAACTATCTCGATGTGCCATGTTTTATTTCACCCACTTGCCGGCTTGCGGGCCTTGGAGAGCTGGCGTGCGTGGTTCTTGACCCCTGCTCCGGACGACCTCTTTGGTGGACTGAGCCAAGGATATGCGCCTATGTGTCTCATGGCTCTCCAATTCTTTGTCGGACCTTCTTTGGGAGCAGATGGATGAGCTCTTGTCCTGATAGGGAGGTTATTGCGGCGGGCGCCGATGTGGATGACTACTTTGGGCAAGACGACGAGTATGTTGGCGCGGGAGACATGGAAGCTGCCACTTGAAGAGCTCTTTTGGACGAGGCGAGGGACGTCGTCTCTGTTGGTGTTTTTGATATCCCTACGGTAGCATGTGGCTCGGCGTCCGGTCACTCCCGCATGGGTTACGCATGGGGAAGCAGATGGATGGTATGGCCAAGCTTGGGCACGAAGTGCTTGCAGCACACTGATCTCGGGGTGATTGCCGAATTATCTGAGGAGGGCACACAAGGTGAGAATACTCGCACTTCAACATCAGACTGGCCAAACAAACAAACAATTTTTTCAGCTTTCTGCAATAGAAAACGGACCTAAGGCTTCACCTTCCATGCACTAGATGCCGCAAACAACCCCCTGACTCTGCTGCGTAGGATAGAGATCACCCCAACGATCATATCAAAAATACCGCCAGCGAATATGGGTGGGGGCGAGGCCAAATCCAAGGTCTACGATGACCACGGAACACAGATGGTTGGGCTCTCAATGGCGGTTGGTTTCCTCGCTTGTGCCATAACCCCTAGTTCCCTCGGCTAGGAGAGACTCTGCCCCCTCCTCATCCGCATTGGCCCATGTCTCGCAGAGCCTCATGCTCTTCACAGCCACAAACACCGTTGATGCAATGCCTACCATGGTACCCAGTCCGGCTGAAACTGCATTGACTGGAGTCGGGTCCCCTCCAAGAGGCCCGTTGGTGAGCGCATCCAGTCCGGACTGGGCAAAGTTTACTACTCCCGAGAAGCAGATGAGGGTCCCGTATATGCGGCCAAAGGTTGCAAACCCAAACACCTTGGTTGCATAATCACTGTGAAGTAATGCAGTTAGCTGCTTGTGACAATCTTGCGGTCAAGACAAATTGGGCAAAAGGGGACGGTTAGGGGGCTCGCTCACGAGATCGCGGAGTAGTAAAGTGGCCGAAAAATGACAAAGATCACAACGGTCACGTATCCGGCCCAAAGGGAGGGAATGCAGTTGAAGACCCCAATCACTGCCATGAGCACAGTCAGGATAGAGAACGTCGTGGGGACACTAAGGTTATTAAGCATCAGACCGATGAAGGGAGTTGACAAAACGCCGCCCATGGGCAGAGCGGCATCAAAGAACTGGTTGATCTGCTGGCCGCGTTCCTCGCTTCCAAGCATGTATCTGTACTGCGACCGAATCGTAGCGATGAAGTAATTCATCCTGACCATCTGAAGAACTGTAAGCAGAAGAATCAGTACGTACCACGGAGTGCGCATTTGCCGATGGGCCGGCATTCCGTGAAGCATGCCCCAGACACCACTGTTGCCCAGCCTCTCCTCTTCAGCCCTGACGCGTGCCTCTCGAAGTTGGGCATCACCGACTATTTCCTCGATTTGGTCCAGCTTTGTCCTCCTACTTCTATCCGAGCGTGCACTCTGAACCCTGGCCAAGAGATGGTCATCTACAATTTCCCCATCCGATGAGTGGGCATCACGTGTCTCGTCTTGAGCTTTCTCGATCTCGGCTGCTAGTTCTGCCATAGTATGGTATGAATGTGGTGGCATGATGAGAATCTCAGCAACGAGGATGGTGGCCGGCACCAGGAGATAAGCCAAGAAGAACTGTTGCGGCGAGAATCTCCCTTTAGACGCCTCGGAGGCCAACCGGTAGAAGAGAAACACAGAAGCTGAGGCGTCAAAGGCACCAGTGATGACAGCCACCACAAGTCCGGAATATTTAGGGAACGCATTGGCAAGCTCGAAGCTAGGGACGAACAAGAAGGTTCCTCCTAACCCCAGAAGCATGCTCCCACTAACATACCCATCCAGACCCGGAGTGGCAAAGGACACCGCCATCAAGCTGCTGCCCATGGCGAGCACGATACATCCTATGATCCAACATGATCGTCGGCCGAGACGGTCGAGAGTAAACCCGGATAACAGGCAAGCGATATTGGTAGTTATGGTCGCTGTGATGAAGATGAAATTCAGCCGCATCTCTTGCCTGGGACACGGAATGTATATGGGGGAAAGATGGCCGAATGCTTCGGGTCCGTTGGGCCCATCATCGTCACAGGAGTCGCGGTAGACACCCTCGGCCACCAAGATCGGTTTGAGGGCTGCAAAACCGAACACAATTCCTGAGGCGAACCAGTTCGCCAGCACGGCAGTGGCTACTTGGACTATGCCACCATGTGAGCTTCGTTTTACCGTTGAAACTTCGTGATTGGGGCCAAGCCAGGAGGTCATGAAAAGGAAAAAAGCACTTGTTACGCACCTCCCCGTTTCCAATCAGAGACCTTATAGGCCGCCGTATGCGGTTGGCTCTGAGGCTTGAAATCGCCAGGCGAGAAGCTCATTCTTCGCCATCCCGCCAGGTTCTCCTCTCCCGCATCAACTGATGCCACTCGCTGCTCAATACTGTGCCCGTTCTGGATATCAGGGTCCGTTGGCAGTTGACAGTCAAAGCCCTCTTCTTGAGTAACATGCTGAGCGAGAGACATATTGGGCGTCTGGACACACCTAGACAGGATCGGAGATTTCGTTTAGCGAAATGTGATGACCTGATACACGTCTGAATTGACTCGCAGAGATAGGAAGACCTTCGTTTCGGTTGGTTTCTTCAGGGATCTGAATCAGTGTTTAGTTCCGTCCTTGTTGGGGCAGTTCTCTCGATGTCTAAAACATAGAAACGCAGCATGTTTAGTCCTTTTGCCAAGATGAGAGGCTTCTTTACCTTGAATCTCCGTCTGTGGTCATTTAAGCCCTCGTACAAGGAGCCGACGTGACGTATATAAAGCTTCGCCACCCACCTCGAGACTCAGACTAACGTTACAGCGAATCTGTGCCCACCAAAAATCAGGGCGACCTCCGACGATAAATAGAGTCGCCGGTTACTAAATGAGCGACGTACCTGGTCATCCTATGAATGGCTTGGGTCATTGCGGCGCACTGCCTAAGCGTACAATCTTCGAGTCTTGAGGGATGTAACCAGTAACTGTCCACTGAGTAGCTTGTGTCATGGCCAAGGTCTGTATCGTCAGTCACAATGACGTGAGACTCCCCAAATTGTTTGTTGATGATGTATCTACAGAGCGGTATGCCCTAGTACACTGCCCGTAAGAGTTGAAAGTGTTCTCAAATTGAGGGAGAAATTCGTCATATTATTGAGTGCCTTGCTTGACGCTAATAATTCGCCAACGTTAACAGAACTGGTTACTTTCTATACAATCCATTCAACTGCGTATCCAAAATAAATGAGCTCGGGACAGGAAACCGTTACATAACGAGCTTGTGTCCGTGATATTTGACCTTCTCGTCATAGGTCTTCACCTCAACCTCCTTGGTCCTCTTGGGGAAGCCATCGAAAGAGAGAGCATAGACGGCAACGGAGTGAGCAATGAGCTAGAATACCCACGAATTAGTACCATTTTCAACAGGATACCTAGTTCAAAAAATATGGGAATCGCTTACCTTCGTGTTCACTTCCCAAGCAGTGTAATTCACGTTGCTAAGGTCGTCGCAGAGTTGGTGGTAGCAAGGGTCGTACCATTGACCAGCATTTCCACCAAACTTCTCAACCTCCTCTGGTGTCTTGATGCCCTCGGCGCCGGTGGCAATACCTCCACCGGGAATTCCGTTTCGAATGAAACCATCGTAGTCACTACGACCGTCAAAGGGGATGAAGGTGTAGTTGAGACCATTCTTCTCATACCAATCGATGTAGAGCTCCTTCAGCTCTCCTGAGCCATTGGGATTCGCGTCGTTGGTAGCGTTGTAAATCTGGTAGGCAAAGTTGGGGCTTCCCATCATGTCGTAGTCCATGAAGAGACGAATCTTCTGGTTCTCTTCATCGGAAAGAGAAGCTACGTAGTGGTCTGATCCGAGGAGTCCCTCTTCCTCAGCAGCCCACCAGGCAAAGCGTACGCAGTTGTTGACGCGGAAGTTAGCGAGCTGGACGGCAACCTCCAGGACAGAAATACTTCCGCTGCCATCGTCGTTGATTCCAGGGCCTTCAGCAACACTGTCACTGTGGCCACCAAGCATGACACAGTTCTCAGGGTCACCGCCTGCAGTCTGTGCAAGGATGTTGGTGGTCGCGATCGTCTTGACCTCAGCGTCAATGTAGGAAATGACATCAAATTGGCGGCCCTGTTGCAGCTTTCGAACGTACTCCAGACCCTCCTCGCCAGAGAGGCCGAAGGTGGCAATGTGGTCGGGAGAGGGTGTACCGAGCGTACCGTGGACTAGGTCGGGGTCGGTGTTATAGACAACGGCAGTGATGGCTCCTGCTTTGCCGGCCTGCGCAGACTTCGCGCCGAACGAGCAGGTGCCGCGCTTGATCAGGACGACATTGCCCTTGGCTGTAGCGGGATAGTCCGAAGGGTTACAGCCGTCGTTCTTAACCAGGACGAGGTTGCCATGGACGGGCTCGTTCTGACGTGTGGGAGGGGTTAGACCCATGGGCGAGGCAGACTTTGGGAGCTCATCGCCGATAACAAGGCGAGACTCGAAGACGTTTCCAGATACTGCAGGGAACGACTGTTCGGATACGGTATAGTACGAACCAAGCTCGGCGAGGGTCGACTTGATGTAGGAGAGGGTTCCTCGATGCCCTAACGACAGAATAATCAGCTTCACGGGGATTCAAGGTGGGTTGGGATAGTGACTCACCCTCGCTCCCAATAACTCGGGTAGGATGACCATACTCTTCCTCTCCAAGCTCGGCGATCTTGTAGAGTGACTCGGCACGCTTCTCCAGGCTCGCAGGCTTGATTTTGGCCTGCAGCGCATCGGTATCGATGAGAGGCAGGTGCTCAAAGCCAGAGGCCACCGATTTCGGCGGCCCGTCAACGGGCTTGGAGAGGCCCGGGAGCTGGATCGGCTGTTGTAGAGGGACCTGCAGCGCCAGAGAGGTGCCGGCCAGAGCGGCGATAAGTGGAAGTCTCGTCATTGAAGCGGTGGCTTGACAAGTTGTTGCAGGAGGAAAAGGCAAGGAAGGAAGCGCACGAGGATGATGGGGTCTGCTCTTATCTTTAAGCTGCGAGATCCCGGCGCGATAGCTCCAGCCGCAGCTCCAGGCAGGTCCCAGCTGACCAGTGCCTGAGGCTGGGTTTCCGGGGGGATGCAGCTAGGGTAGCTTTGCCCAATAGCAAGCCTCCGATGGCGTCATTCCGTGTGACCCTTGATGCATGTGCCATTCAGGTCCCGCGACCACCTCAACTTATAGCTACCCTATACTCCTACATCATCATCGATGCTGAGATGCAATAAACAGTCTTTTTCTATGCTTCAGGAACTTTAAATGCACTTAATACGGACAAAGAACATACAGGAAGAATAGTACTGGTATTGCCTCAAACCTTTCCCGCAAGACTATAAATTGCTAAATGTGTACTTCTCTTCTTCGGCTAACTACAGAAATCGCGAGCAATCGAAGTCAAAGTCTGAGACACAGTCTGGATTGACGCCACGTCTACCCATTCTTCCTTCGCATGCAAGCCTTCCCCGAGTGGTCCCCAGAGAAGCGCGGGTATCCCAGCGTCCGCAAGTAGGGCGCAGTCCGTCCAGAATGTATCTCCATGGAAGGATACGTTCCCTCCTAGGGACTGTTCAACATGGTGATGGACTAACGCGGCGAACGGATGATCCGAGGCCAGAGAATAGGGAGAGCGCTCGAAGGTGACCCGTAGATCGTACTTGAATTGGGTATCCTGGCTTGCAATTTTCTCCAACAGAGACCGGATCTCCTGCTCGACTTGACCGGCTGTCTCGCCTGCAATCGTTCGGCGCTCAATCGTTATTGTGCATCGAGCTGGATAGGATGAAGCTTCCTCCCCGCCTTTGATCAACGATGCATGCACTGAGGCAGGACCGACTTTGGGATCAATGACGTTCGCCTCCAGGCGTTTGGCATATTGATCTAGAGCAACGAGGAAATAACCGGCCTTGCAGATGGCATCAACTCCCAGGTCTGCACGAGACCCATGCGCCGCAACTCCGTGGATATCAACCTCGATCCAAACAAAACCTTTATGGGAGTTGACAATTCTGAGATTAGTGGGCTCACTGACAACCGCACCGTCAGCTCTCCAACCAGCCGCTAGGACTTCTTCTGTCCCAATGCTTGCTGCTTCTTCGTCAGAAACTCCCGTAAAAATAACATCACCACGCAGACCCAGCGTTTTTGATCTTGCTAGTGCTACCATGGCAGCTGCCACACCACATTTCATGTCCGCAGATCCACGGCCGTAGAGTCTCCCATCTGCAATCTTGCCGCTTAGCGGATCTCCGTCGTAACCCAGTATTGTGACTGTGTCAATGTGGCCATTGAACATGAGACTTTTCCCTCCACCGCTTCCACGAACGACACCCACGATGGATGGACGACCGCGTGTTGGCTCTACCAGGTGATTCTCAATATCGCGGTGCTCTAGCCAGTGTGTGATATATCGAGCCACGGCAGTTTCACCAGGTCCGGGCGTGGAACCCAAACTTGGGTTGGACGAATCAATTTGAACCAGCGTTTGTGTTAGAGCAACGGGATCATCAGAAGAAACATCGAGAGGAACATTGTATTCTCGCGAGCCTTCGGTGCAGAGTAAAACAACAGTTGAACTCTTGGTAAGACCGAGGCTTTCTTTATCTTGGTCGCTAAGACGACGAAGAGCCGCCAAAGGTGATGCGCCACATGGACCAGCGAGGACGCCCATTGCCTTAAGCTCCTCTACTGCCACATGTGACTCATAATCAGATACCGTCAAACTGGCATCGACGCCACTCTGGAGAAGCGGCCATGCAGTCGTGGAAACTGTACCACAGTCCAGACCTGCCATGATGGTAGGCGAAGTGTCAATTGGGGCAAATTGGTCCTTGCGCAAGCACTTCCACAAGCAAGCGGCGCTATCTGGCTCAACAGTCACCATAGACGTGGCTCTGCCGTCTTGCTTCACATGCGAGACAACTGCCTGAGCAAAAGATCCAACACCGACCGGGCATATAACAAGGTCAGCGTTACGACCTCCCAACTGGCTGTCCAGCTCTAACATCATGGTTTGATAGCCCTGGACAATCCACTGCAAGACATTAGCTCAAATAAGTCCCCCAGGGCGCAGCGTTAGAACAACACATACCGTAGGTATTTCCTCATAGCCACTAAAGGCGGTATCTTGAATAAATAGACCTTGGGACGTCGATGTCGCTGCGGCATAAGCAGCGGCAATCGCATCATCATAGTTCCCATTAGAGCGGACAATCCGAGCACCTTCTTTTTCGATGAGCTCGACCGTAGGCTGAGGCATGCTTGCAGGGATATGGATCTCGACAGGAATGCCGAGGATCGCGCCCATGCGACCTACTGCCCGCCCGTGATTGCCATCGGTGGCGGCGTAGAGGGTGAAGTTCTCATGAGCTAAGGCCTTCGTCACTGTCTCGAGGCTTGCTTCCGCTCCAATTCCAAGTTTCTGGCACACTACACGGAAAGTACCCCACGAGGCGCCTAGAATTTTGAATGACGGAAGATCAAAGCGATTACCCTCGTATTTCACAAAGATGGCGCCGAGACCAAGTTCCTCAGCAACCTTGTCCAGCGACACCAGTGGTGAAGGCTGATACTGAGGAAGAGTTTGGTGGAACCTGAAGGCCAGTTCCGCAGCATCCTCAGCGGCGGGCGCTATCCAGCGTTTCGCATCAGGGCGGAAGAGGATTGGTCTTCGTAACTGTGTCATTTCAACTTTGTTTAGAATGCTGTTTGTTGATTGTATATTTGAGAGTGAGAGGGAGTGAGCGACTGCAAGATAGACAAATGGGATTTCCACGCTTGAAATACCTATCTGCCTGATTGGTGATGATGAGCGATGAGGGGTCCCATCGTATGCGCGCCTGCGCCTTAGATTGATGAAGTGCCGAGTGTCGGACTTGTCATGTCAAAACCCAACCCCACATAAAGAAATCGCTACTCTGGTACCAACAATATATTGTGAGTCGAACAAACAAACATCTATACAATCTGTATTGGAAAAAAAAAACAATTGATAGATACCGTCCCGTCATAGTTGCTGCAAAAGACTTTGCGATGCTTCGGTTGATAGGCTAACCTACCAGCCAAAATGGAGGGCGAGGGACGAGAGTGGCCAAGGCCTTTGAGCAATCGGGGCAGGAAGGAATATGGACGGGATCACTGATTATACAGCCGTTTACCGTAGCTGATGACTTGGGGCACTGTTGATCCATTAATTTGCCCACCGATTCACAAACTCCTCCTTCTTTTCACTCCTCTTGATGGCCATTTTCTTCGCATCAGCTCGCTCGAGTCCATCAACAACTTGCCGCACCTCGCTCCGTAGAACGGATATAGAAGACTCTATATCTGAGTCCACGAGCTTGACCTCGTTGTAGGGGCTCTCAGCCAAGACGGTATCTTTCAAGAGCTGGATAGCTAGGGCGACATCATTTAGATGTGATGATGCGGTTGCTTCAAAACTCTCTTGGAGGCTGAGTGCAACATCGTTTTCTTTAGTGGTTCGTTCCGCGAGGACCCTCTTAAGTACGGCAATCTTTGCGTCGCTGAACGTCTCGGCTTCAATTGGAAACAGAATCGCAAGATTTTGAAGAAGGGTCTCGACCGGGGGCTCGTCCATGATGCCAGAGGACCGTCTTCGTGAGCGAGAGTCTGTGTTTCCCCGTGGGCGGGCAGTTGGAGCTTTGCGAACTGGAGATATGGGTACGATTGGTTTCATCGACCGTCTGGGCTTATGGTCGGGTGCTGACAACTCGTCCTTGGCCATGCTGATTATGGACGTCGAGGTAGCTTGATGAGACCTAAAGGTATCGATGGCTTGCTTCAACCGCTCGCCGCGGTCATTTAGATAATCGAGGCATTGTAAAATCTAATGCAAGATTATAGCGTTAGTGAGACTGATAGAACCTCCACTGATTAGAGGTATACGGACGTAGGTAAAAGCAGCTACAGATCGCTGCATGCTCTGGCCACTTCGGCCGCCAATTGACTTGGAAGCAGGATCCAGATACTGTTGTTCAACGGACATCTGGGCTACAGGAAAGATCTCGGAATAGAGAGATTCCAGCTCCTCTTCCAACGCCCTCACTTCCTCTCCCGTTGTTGCTCGAGCCTCACCAGACCGCTCAGCATTGGTCAGCGCATCGAGGTAGACTCTGTCCAATTTTGTGCGCAGAGTTTCGACCGTGATTTTAATCAACCTGATGTTTATGTTAGTATATTTAAGCACTTCCATAATGGATCACCTACCTTATACTGATTTCCCGAAGCTTGTCAATCTTGCCAGCTTCTTCGGGATCTTGCTGATCCAGTTCCCATCCAAGTTTCTGTAGACTTGATAGTAGCTTGTCATCTGATGCAAGTATGCCCTCGACCGTCGCACTCAAGTTGCGACCAGATTCATCTCCTTGTTGCTTCAGCTCGGATACACGAAAGCCCACGCTCTGTGCTAGATCCTCGACCTATTAGTTTATGTTTGTCAGTTCAGAGTTGCACAAGTTAAGGGAAAACAAAGGTTTTTTTGTTCGAGTTCATGTACCTCTGCAGAGACATATTTGTGTTCCGTGTTTGCTTTCCGCTGCCGCTCAACTTCAAATGTTTCTCTGCGGGCGGAGCTATCGGAGGCTTTCTTAATTAAGCGTGAAAATGCATCTTGCTGCTGCCGCAACGTTTCGGTTTGCTTGGTGATCGCTTCAGTCGATCGGTTCAGCTCATCTATAGCAATCCTGATGTCGTCCTCGCTCACGGCTTGAACCTCGGCCAGGTCATGTAGCGCTGCAAGCTTATCTACTTGCCCAGTCTTATCCAACGTAGTATAGCTAGGAATTGGGATTAGTCCACGTGGTAGCATGATAGAAGAGACGATATATACCCCGATCCAAGAAAAGGATCGAGGGCAGGTGGGTTTGCTCACGTTGACATCTCATCTGGCGTGAGAAGGTTGTCTGGGCCGAGATGATTGATCGCCCATTGCGCAAAGGCAGGACCGTGATCCGGGTCCCTCAAGGCGCGTCGAACAGAATCACGTTCGGAATTGATGCCATATTGACGCCCTGCGCCTAATATCAGGGACTCGGCACGCTCAACAAGCTGGGTATCCATGGACATAGGTTGATGGAGAGCGTCCCACAGACAACGATTGAAAAGATTGCCGCGCGGCGCTGATTCTACCTAGGTATTTGAGCTTCGGATCCGGTTAGCAATCCTTTGTATGTAGCTAGTTGATGGGTTACACGACATTGTCAAATGGTGTGAAATTGATGAGGAGGCCGGGGGCTGGCACCGCCATCAGCAGTGATGTTATGGTTCGCTATGGTGATTTACGTGAGAGAATAAAACTTACAAAGACGGGCAGTTTATTGATTTGGTCGGAAAACCTGGTTGAAGGACGCCTCAAGATATAGATCGAAGCAAATGCATGCAGAGAAGCTAAGCGAGCATGCAGGCCCAGTAGGTGTCTCGGATCGGCAGTGAGCTGGCAGCTGGGCAACTAAGCCTAATTAGAGCTGAGCGCGAGGCTGAGAACGTGTAATGGGCAGCTGTCTGAGCATCTAGGGAACAACGCGAAGGTGGCGGCTGTGTCGCGATGTGCGATTGAACTGTTGATGTGGTGGGTGGCACTGGCTGGTACCCGATTTGTGCACGTTGAGGTTGGAGGCGGTCAGCGAGCCGTGGCGCTGGCCCTGAAGATTTACTGGCTGCTCAGCACTGTCCAGCTCCCGTCTCCGGTCCGTGGGGACAGCTACAGGCCCTCCCCTCACGCAACGTCCCGTCTGCAAGAGAGCAGAGGGCCACGTAAGTTAAGGCAGGGTGCACCTGCCTGCAGGTCCAAGGACTCTGTCCCTTTGTATTTGAGGTTGCCTCAAGTTGCACTGCAGCATGCACCCCCAAGCCCCAAGACAGTACAGGTACCCACACTTTAGGGACCCAAGCCTTGTGGCCTGCAACGGCTCTAGACATCGTCCAATCCCACCACCCATCCGATCATGTGGGAAAGACAATTTCAACGTCACTGGCAAATCCCAAGGCACGCTGTGCCGAAAGACAGGCCTGTGACTTAAGACACAGGGTCATGATTGTTACTAGACATGGTAATACCCCAGATCCCACCTTCAGATCTGGGCAGACATCCCCCTGTATGGGCTATCAACTTAAAGAGATATTGGATCTTTTACTTGAGGGGAAAAGGACCTCGGTCTAACAACAAGCGACCAAAACGGTCTTCTTCATGTACACGGAGGTAGGAGTAGATCGCGTAGTGCTGATCGCGGAAGCCACCCCACAAACGGCCATCTGCCGGCAGAGTGACAACTCGGCTGTCGACAACAGATCTGCCGAATGTGCATGGTCTTGTTGGCACAGTTCGGGAGGCTGCTGCCATATAACGCGGGGTTATGGACTACAGAGCGCGAGGGAGATGGTGGCACAGGAAATCTCATCTCGAGGCCCCTCCCCCCCTGCCATAACCTCAACCGCATCGATCTGAGAGATGGGTGTGTGGAATCAGAGTGCATAAAGAAGCCGAGAAAATCAAAAAGTGGATATGCCCTACGTCCCGTTGGGAACTTTCATATGGCTGATGGCTACTTGCATGCATAACGCGCTGCAGCTCCAATGTGCTGCAGCTCCAATGTGCTCTGGTCTCTCCCCCCACCTTTCCTTTGCTCGACTTTGCTGGGCCTTCGGGAACGCACATGTAATAAATGTCGATATATTGATCTGTATGCCTAGATTTTACTATAGCTGGACACTCTTTCGAGAATCCCTTGTAACACCGTTAACTGCTCTGGGGTGGGAAATCTTTGCGGAGGCACTTTAGGGCAGCCAAATGAGTACTTATTCAACCGATGTCCCCTCGTTCCAAGTTTACCACGGGCATCCAACACTTGGATTGATCTTTTATTTCAGGACAGGTAAGTCCTTGTGCCTTAGGCAGTGTGAGAGCTAGTTACTGGGCGGTACTTGTCCTTGGACAGTGTGGTTTGGCTGTTCATAATTCTGAAGCCAGCCCGCACAAAGAGAGAAGGTTGCCCTACCGACAACACCTCGAAATTGACCATCAGGGCCATACTTAGCCGCAGTTTTTTCCCCCACTCCTTTTCCTCCCTCCCTCTTTCTTCTCGTACTTCAGAGTGACACCCCGGAGCTGTTTTCACTCATTCACTATCATCCTTGATAGCTCATGTTCTATGACTGTGCATGGAACGACTTGAGCTTACTGGTTACCTTCTTTTGCTTTTGAATCCTTTCGTTCATTTTTCACGCTCGCTTTACGTGCTTTCCCGAAGTTGATTTCTTGCTGCTCGATCCACAACTTCCAAAACCTCAAGACCACACATCGTCACTCGTTACTTATGCTGCTTCCGACCTTCAGGATTCATCCGAAGTCATAAGGATGACTACCTCAACACCCACCGCGCCTGATACAGGCCCCATAGTATCAACCATTTGGAGGTCTAGGTTTCGAGCTGCCATCAGAGAATTAACGGCCATCCTATACGTCGTTGCTCTATTCCTTACGAGTGAACTCATCATCTGGGGGATCAGCCTCGCACTTGCTCCGGCGAAGATCGAATATTTCTCAGCCATCTTGAGCATGGTCCTTGTCTTCGCAATTATGACCGGAATCACCACGATACTGCCTAGCTCTGATCCCTTCTATCAACAGATGATGAAGCCAAAGGTGAGAAAACCAATCCCATGCATCGCCAATATCCTGGAGACTGACTCAAGACTCTACAAGATTGATTTTGTAAACTCGCACCTTGGTATTGGATTTCCTGTCCCCATTGTCATGTTGGATCCCGAAAATGTTCTCAACGTGGGAGAGATCGCCAAGATCATTTATGTTTGTGGTAAGACTCAACTCTAACGGAAGATGGGACGATAACATTGATTGATACTGACTTTAGTACCTTACAGTAATTACAAATCTCATTTCGTGGATCACATGCTTCGTTGTAGCTTGTTGCGTCCTTAAACTCGCTATTCGAAGTTGCAGTTTCACTACCTGCGCAAGATTAGGATTCAACAAAACCCAAACCGAGAACCGAGCTCGCTGGGGAGCAGAAGCGACCAATCAGCCCAAGGAAGAGACAGAAGGTGCCTCAGAGCCTGCGAACCGAACTCGACCCAAAACCCCTGCTATCGACTTCAACGCCGAACCTGCCAAGACCAAATCACCAGCGTGGAATTTTGCTGTCGCTTCATACCCCATCCTCTTGCCCGCACTTGTTGCTCTGGTGGTCGGTACTCCAATTGCCGCTAAACTTCGCGATCACCGTGTGCTGGACATGTGTATTCTTCTGTGCCTATGGACTACCTCAGTAAGGTCCCAGCGTGGCTTCAAGGTTTCACGGATTTGCTCAGGGAGCCCCCGAATCAAGAGGATGTTGACCACTATCATGAATCCTGTCCTTCTTACGACTTTGTTGATGATCGCATACACGAGATCAAAGGCCGCTGCCACAATCAACATGAGCTTGACTGATCTTCTTCATCAGTTCAGTTTTGGGACGCCACTCTACGCCATCTGGACCTCTGCTGTGATGAATACTCCTCTCACTGCCAACCCTACACGAAACTTTGGTGCTGGAGACGCGGCTCTAGCTTTTCTAGAATGCGGGATAGTTGTCTGGGGGTTCAAGCTCTATGAGAACCGCCGCCAAGTTTTCAGCCTCAATGGGCTGCTCATTGCGATTCTGGCAACCCTTGCGGCAGCTTTCAATGTGTTCATGAGCGTCCGTATCGGCCGACTTGTTGGACTCGAGCCTGCTGAGGCCCTAGCATTTGCAGCCCGATGCACGACTCTGGCACTTGCACGACCAATCATGGCATCTCTCGAGGGCAACTCTGCAGTCAACGCCGCCTTGGTGGTCACCAATGGAATCCTTGGACAGTTGATGTGCCCATATCTTGTCGGGCTTTTGGATGTCAAGAAATGCACTGACGCCGTGGATAATCAAGAGAGTTCTGGATATACAAGCCCCCAAGAAACCGCCCCGGAAGCCTCCGGTTCGGAATCCCAGGCACCATTGATGACTGAGCCAAAGCCCCAGGACGAGCCAGAGCCAGAGTCACCAACAACGCCAAGAATAAGATTGGGCGACCAGGAGATCGTGGGCCTTAGTCCGGCAACCACCGCGCTGAACTTCACCATCGGAGCCAATGCAGCAGCCATGGGGGTTGCATACCTGTTGGAGATCAGGTCGCCCGCCGCCGCCTTCGCTGTTCTCTCGATGATCGTGTATGGCGTTATGACTGTGGTGTTCGCTACCGTGGAGCCAATGAGATCTGCTGTGATTTCGCTGGCCGCGTAGGGCAGAACAACTTCGTTGAGTCATGTTCTTCTTCTACCGTTTCTCCTTGTTGTACTGGGATTCGCCATGATCTCATTGGCTGTATAAGGCAGACTTCATCGACTCACGTTCCCCTTCTTCTGAAGTTTCTCCTTGTTGTACTGAGCTCCGCTATGATCTCATTGGCTGCATAGCGCAGAACAACTTCATCGAGTCATGCTTTTCTTCTTCTTTCATTTCTCCTTTTTGTTTTGGTTTGAGAAAGCTCGGAGTTGGTGCAAATTGGTCGCGTGTTTATTGAAGTGCGACTTTAATTTCAAGGGGCGGGATAGTGTGATTTGGAGTTACTATAAGGGTACGTTACAAGTAAACGTCTGGAGTAAAAGCGAAAGGGATAGATAAGACCAGGTTAATGGCGTTAATAGTCGACTCACCATGTCGCGGTTTGATTTAATTCGAGCAATGCAAGTTCTTTCTACTACGTCTACAGATTGTGAAGCTGAAACCGAATGTTACCTTCATTGAGCACCACAGTTGATAAGTTTAATCCTAAAGGCCTAAAGGAAAGGTATACGATGGAGAGAAAAGATCAATTGGGTGAAAGAACAAACGGCGCGCAGACAAAGACAGGTTGCCAGTTTTCGCAGTTCCGTGAATCCTTCAGCTTGCTATAGAAGAATCAGTGACGCAAAGGGGATCGCTCCATCATATCTTCAACTCTACTCAAGCATATATCTGGCCTAAACAAAGATAGGTTATTCCAATCTGGAGAACTCGGTCAGTTATATTTGCCAAACAGTGACCTCTAGAAACATCAAATGAGGCAGGGGGAGTCATTTAATGGGGTGGATGCCGCGAACAGGGGGAAACGTGGAAGGAATATTCACTTACCTCTCAATCAAATGCAACCCGCTCGCCGTCTCTACTACGCCGCTCATCTCACCCACCTGGAGACCAAAAGCGGCATCCTCAAACTCCTTTTGCATGTCGCCATGCCCGAAATAGCCCAAGTCGCCCCGCTTGCGCGCGGACGAGCAGTCTGAATCTGTCAGAGCCAGCTCGCCTAAGGCAGCTTCGCCAGACTTGATTCTCTTCTCATGACCTCTGATGATCTCGTACGCTTCTTCCTTCGATCGGGTAATTTCATTCTGTAACACGCCCCAAAACAAGGGTGTCAGCAACGGTCTCCCATAGCAACCAATGACTTGACACGCGGGAAAAGACTAGGGTGGATGTGCGGGACGGGGACGGGATGAATTCGGACCTCTCTCCAGCTCTTGGGACGTCGGCTGTCTCGGTGCTTAACGAGCAGATGCGCAGCACGGATCTTGCCCTCGGGGACACCAACTACTGCGCCGGAACGCGAGGTGGCGCTGTGGTGGGCAGCCATGTAGTGCTTGAGCTTTTCGGTGTCGGTGCCTGAGGGAGGCTCCCATCGCGAAACCTTTTCGTTGGAGTTGAAGTAATAGGGGAGGTTCTTGGAGTTGGAATGGCGAACTTCCCAGCCAGGGGGGAGACCGGTGTCTGCCTGTATACCACGGTGTGTCAGCTCCATTCAAGTTCCTTTTCCCGAATATAAAAAGGGGACTGATAGCCGTAGTTCATAGCTTCGGTGATGCGATATAGACTCACCATTGTGGATATGGGGGAGTTGTCGTCGGGGGAAGAGCAGCTCGATGCTATATGGACAGAGCAAGTCGTACGGACTCGAAGCTTACAAGCAACAAAGCTGTAAGTAACACAATGGGAGCGACAAGAGATGAGACAGCAGGGAGGGAAGAAGACAGGATGCGCTGGCGGGAGTGATATGTGCAGCTGCGAGGTGCAATGACGTGCCAGAAGGAGGAGATTTAGATGACCACGGGTGATGAGAGGGGAGCTAGCTTGGCTGGACGAGCTCAACTTCCCGCGCCTTGAGGAGCCCCGCGCGGTGCCTTTTTTCGGGGCAGTTGGTGGTTGCACCGGTGACCACCAGTGACGTGTGGCGTGGGTGGACTCCAAGAGACTTAGCTCGGGGCAGTACCTGGGAACCAGCGCTCCAGGTTAGGCGGCAGGAGGGTGACATAAAACGGGGCACACCATGGCCACCGAAGTTGTGTTCCAGCACAAGGTCAAAACAGTCAACACAAGGAGGCGCTAAGTACTAAGAACAGTTTACGTGTTGATATTTACCATTAATTGTTCTGGTCGTTCTTATTCATCCAATGCTACTCTTCAGTCACTATGTTGATTCGATACACATACAACAGGCCTTAGTTTGGCTCGTCGGTGTCGCCCACCCAGTGGCCAAGGTACCTAGCGTGTACCTCAGGTACTCCCTGGTCGGCAAACAGAGGTACATGCCCCACCCGCCTCGGGCCCACCCAGGAAGTACCTCTCTAGCGCATGAGGCCCAACAGAGTCAGAGCCAACTCTGCGGGGTACTTCACTGTGATGGCGCTGGGGTTCTGGTCTGTGGGGGAACTCAGAACTTCACAAATCCACTGGCCCCATAGAGTGTGGCCCAGCTGAACAACCACTAACAAGCCATTTCTTCTCTTTTTCATCCTGTTCGACTGTCACCAACCCCTAGTTCCCGGCAAGCAATCTGGATCGACGTAACTTTTCCCAGTCACGAGACGGGGGGGATCTATCGGCTAGAGCCTCATGTGTGCTCGGGCGCTACGAATCACGGCTCGTCCCCAGGAATTGCACAGAGCCATGTGACATGAGAAGCCAGCACAACACTGGCCTCATGCCTACGCCCACCACATCCAATCCGGATAAATGCGCTGGGAGCCACGTAAGGGTCGCTTCTTTGGAGCCAGTCTTGAGCTTTAGACCTAATTGCTAGGTGGGTAAACGGTCATGCCCGGCATGTCTGAGAACACGATGCATAGATGACCAATCGGAAATGTTCAGAAGGCAGATGCTGGTTTACTAATGCAGTGCTTGCGCTGGCTCTAGATCCTACTCACTCACTCCCTGTAAACTCCGGTCTTTTATCGACCATCTACGGATTCCCTCGGTTGTATCTGAAGCCGGCCACCATGATGGCAAAGTAGACACCGGAAATGGACCAAGAATAAAACCCCGCGACCCAAGAGAGTAATAGATTGGCACATTTCCCTTCGCCCAGTGTCCCTCTCTTTTCCCTGTTTTCTAGTTGTTGGTTCCATGATTCGGGATAGGATATCCACCCACCCTCAGGGCTTTTGCCCATATGTGACGAGACTAAAGTTCAAAAGTCAACTGGTTGCTGTTCAATCAACACCTTCAAGGCGAGGATGGGGGCAGATTAAAGATTCAACGCACATGGTCCAGTAAGCGTGAATGCGAGGGTCTCTCATCTCATTGCGGACTGCAGCGAGAAAAGGCAATAGCTCCTCTTTGGTCCATCCAAGACCTCTGGTCATCAAGGCCATGCTAATCCCCTCAAGGTTGTTCTCGATGTTTGCGAGCGTCCAAAGACCCAATTCTTTGTTCTTTGCGTCCTTTGGCCAGGGATTTGTTGGCCACTTGTAGGTCCTTTGGGTTACATTTTTAAACCCGGCGTTGACGAACCGCTGCTTGTGATAGTTAGAAGCTGCAATAGACCGACCCAGGTTTTCGCTGGCCTTTCGCATCAAGGACATCCATTGATGAAGAGCGTGTCCTTCCGTGAGGCTACCGTCGTCAGACTTGCAGGGGACGGTGTTGTCAATCACTTCAAGCCAACCACCCGGTTTCAAATGACTTGGTCACATTGTCAGTACAAAACTACCCAAAAAGATCCCGGGGGGGCAAACACACAATGACGCCTCGTTCATAAAATTGTCCCAGTTGGCAAAGCTACCAACCATCATCCGGGAAAAAATGAAATCAAAGGGTTCTGTCCAAGTCCAATCATTCTCTATGTCATCGACTTCAAAGCGGCAATTGACAGGAACACTACACCATAAAATGAGGTTAGCATTGAACCATGTAGTAGAGTCACAGGGTTTGTTGGGAAACCTCATACAATTCTGGTTGGATAGGACTAAGGTCAACTCCAATTACTGTTGCGTGAGGATGCTCGTCGGCTATTTCAGGGTGTTAGTCAGGCCAATTTTCCATCAAACAACTGCCGAGAGTTATGTTGATCATATATACCGAAATCAATTGCCCAGACTCCTGTGCCTGTGCCAACGTCCAAGACACGCCTTGCACTTTTTGCCCCTGGAGAAAAGCATGAACGGCCGTCAAAAGTTATGGAAAATTGATGGTTCTGTATATCTGTAAGACGATCATATTAGCAAGTGGGAGCTATGTATCAACAATGTTCTACCGGGGATCGCATACCGAGCCTCTGTTTTTCTTCCTATGAAGTGAAAAATTCGTCGGTATTAGCGGATTCCACGACTGGGAGTTGGAAGCTACACTCTTGATTTGGGAATAGGTACCTCGTCATTGGGTAATACATATTCTGGTGCAAGGCGTCAGTTGGTACTTGCAGGCGTGGTGGGTTATGTTGGGGTATTGTCACATACTTCCTTTACTGAGAGCATGATATCTCCGCCCGTTCTCCATATGGTAATTGTATACACTTGAGTGAACAGACTCTGATGTCAAGGCATCATCGGCCTATTGGTAACAGCACAAACACCGGCATTAGCTTGCCATTTACCTAGATCAAGATGATAATTGATACTCACAATCCCAAGCGCGGAATCATGGTCATTTCCGTTGTTAATTTCCTCCGCATGCTGCGTAATTATAAAAATAAATAGTCAGAATCATAGGTGCTACCAAAGATAGAGAAGAATACACACCAAAGGGTCGACAACAGTTTCCCCTGAACCATTGGTGTGTGATTGACCGGTGGTTCCGGGGATCAAGTCGGACATGGTTTTCGAAAGGCCGTTAATAGTGGCAGTGTTTCCGTCGCCAGGCCGTAAATAAATATGTTTTGAAATCAGAATCCGTATCGTTCTCCATCTACCAACGGGGTTCTATTTGGCATGGTTTTCTAATATACTCAGATCAAGCTCAGAGTAGAAGCAAGAAAAGGAGAAGCGTGTAAGCTCCTTAGGTCTGTTAGAGCGAACAAGAGCCTTCATCTGCACATGATAAACCCGTTTGCGTTTCTCTTCCAATCCCAGTAGCTAGGCGCATGAGGTGGGATGAACGCGCAGCTGCAGGTAGATAGATGTTGATAAAGAAAGGGCGGACAATCTCATGTTAACTGATCAGGATAAGTTTCAGCGGGATCCATCAGGTCTAGATTGTCTCTCGGTTCCTTAATTAGGCCAACAGCAGGGTGCAGCTGTTGGCCACACCCTCATCCTGGCCGCGATGAAGAGCCCTGTCACACAAGCCCAATGATTGGCCAGTGCTCTTCTACAACCGTGCACCTCATTTATGACAACGGGTCGGCTAGCTGCAACAATGGATACATAATACGGGATCTTATAGGCCAGTGAGTGGCCTGTCTGTGATCTCCTTCCCACGCTCTATTTCTAGCTTGAGGTGAGGCAACCTCAGAACTGCGGGAAGGTTGATGTCCCTCCTTTACTCAAGGTGTGGTGGGTACTGAATCGACCTAATGCACCTACCTACCGTAGTCACAACTGTCATTGTAAACTACCAACTCAACAGTCGAGATCCTAGTGGAAACTTTGTCCCCAAGCCTGGCTTCCTGATCGAACTAGCGGTCTTATCCGCTGTATTGAAAAGATCAGCAATTGCAACATGGGGAAGCCATTAAAGGCTAGTAAGGGGGACGCGCTTCTGTGTAGCATCGTCTCAACAATTTCAGCAAGAGTATTGGAAGAGGTTTACAACATGAGTTTGTCTTCAAATAATATTTGGCTTCCGAGAATTAACGAGACGCCAAACTTTCGGAAGAGCTTTGGATGTCTAGGCCCAGGTACTTTACAGATTCAACTACTTGGCTAGATGCTCAGAATCACTCACTGGGGCAATGCCTGTAATTATCTAGGCAACTAAGTACCTTACCATTTTACCTAGGTAGGTAAGAGTTATGGTCATGACTCATGTACATACCCCAATGGAGATGGGGGAACAGAACGAGCGCTTCCTTCGTGCTGTTAAAGCCTTTCCACTCTTGCTGGTACAATACTCAGGTGGGTGAAATAAAACACGGCACACTCTGTTCGCGTAAGGCACAGACCTCGTTTTGAACTAAACACAATAGTAAGAGAATTCTATGATATCAAGCTTTATATCGTACATATTGAATTTACTACTGAAGTACCCACCTAGATGTGCCATGTTTTATGTCAGTCGCTTGGTACATAGCTGGCACTGCCATAGCTGGGTCGGGTTTTGCTACTCATAATTGGTTGCATCAAAGGTAAGAAGTTCTTTCAAGTAAAGAGCAAACATACAGGCAGATGTATTAAGACACACCTGCCAGAGCCAATGGTGACCGACGATGCAGGCAGCCTGGGGGTAAACTCTGGGTTCTAGAAGATGGTGGAAACCTCTTGGCTTGCTGCCCGACTGCCAAGACCCGGGTATCCTCACGAGAGAGCGGCCCCAGCCGGATGAGAAGGCACATATTACCATCAAATCAGCATGTTCTTCATAGGTAATAATACAGTTGCATGAACAAGGCGCGCCATCAGCAAGAGCTGCACACACATACACATGATAGTGACTTTTTGAGCGGGCGATGATCTAATTAGCTTCATGGAAAGGCGTCACGAGAAATCTCATCAGCGGAGTCAGCGGCTGTGAGGTTGTGCGGAATGCAGTTCACGAATTGGCTTAGTTCAAACACGGCTTGTCGCAGGAAATGATTTTTTTATGATCTACAAAGGTGCAAGTGAGGCCTGCTCTATGTTCAAAAGAATAGGGAGGTCTGTGACGCAGAGGGAGGTGATGTGTATATACTGTACTCATGTAGCACAGAGTACGCCACCAAACTAATGCTGGTATCTTCAAACTCAAGTCGCCAAATTAGATGCTGCGTAAACTGCTGCGCTTCGAGAGTTTCCGTACGTAAATAGCCATAAGTAGAGAGTTAAATCTATGCACGGCGACATTCCAACAAAAACCACGCTTCTTGGAAGAATTAAGCCACGTGTGACAGAGGTCATCCTGCAACTGTTTAAGTTGTGACTCATTAGACTCTGAGGCAAATGACCAAATGGTAAAGTACTTGCGCCCGAGATGCCTTGCGCAAAGTCAGATACATTAGCCTTCCACCTCAGCACCTCTCAGCCATTAAAAAGAAGGCGAATCTCCCAGACACCAGCATCAGAAACTTGCCCATTCCATACTCACACTCACACACACACACACACATATACACTTCCACTGATTACCTACTGCCATACCGCAGCAACTTGAGAATCCACAACAACTCTTCAACACACCCACCAATCAGCCTCCCCACCACCCCACTAATTATTCGTGGCGCAAGGCCAGGCATTTCACCAGTGCACTGAATTATTACGGGGACTGCTTCCGACACTTTCTTTGTCTTACACCAGACATTTCAACACATCACATCACATCGGTTTATCTACAAAAAGGAGCGCATCGAACCCAAACGCACCGACACATTCCTGCATTACATCGCCTCTCTTCCGTTACTCCTTCCTCTGCAGAGTTTCCGTGTATCGTCAGCGCGACACCGACCACACCGATAAACATGTCTTCACCTAATTCGAACGCGTCGCACGACGCCCAGATGGCCAACAAGCCCAAGAAACTAGAACAGATTTCGTTCCGATTTTGCTCAGAATGCTCTAATATGCTCTACCCCAAGGAGGATGAAGACGCCCACAAGCTCCAGTTCACCTGCCGAACGTGCCAGTACACCGAGGATGCCACGACCACATGCGTTTTCCGAAACGTCCTCAACGAGACCGCAGGAGAGACCGCCGGTGTTACCCAGGACGTGGGCTCTGATCCAACGGTTAGTGCTTTTCCACCTGCCCTCTGCTTTTGTTGTGGCACAATCGTCTACTGCAACACCTGCGGCGAATCCAATTCCGAAATGGCAGTCGAGTACTGTACACCAACGGGACAAAACGATATGTTCTCTTCCAACAACCTATCCGTCTTCCAGATGACGTTCTGGGATGAGGACGAATACGATGAGGAGATGATGTCCGAGAAGAGCTACCACAGCACGAGCAGCGAGCTTTCTTCCGATTCACACGACGTCGACAGCTCTTGAGGTACCGAGATCTAAATGATCGATGGCTCTCGAATCGAACACAAGCCCGCAACGAACCCGAAACCGAAACAATTACGAATATGAAAACGCCAGTGATACAAGAATCTGTTGAAGCAAATGTCGATGGTGTTGCAGTGGACTGCACTTTTACCCCAACATGATTTCGACATTCTGCCTTGTTTGGAGAATCACTGGCTAACAGAAACTTATTATTTGACGGCGACAGCTTCCACGATCGAACAAGCCCTGCCCAAACTGTGCGCATACAGAAGCCGTGTTCTTCCAATCGCAACAGCGCAGTGCCGAGACTGGAATGGTGAGTCGTGCTCCTGGTTGCTACCGATTTATGGCCGAGGAGCGTCTTCGAATGCTGATGATGATGGGAAAAAGAAACTCTTCTATGTCTGTTGCGAATGCGGTCATATCTTCACCTAATAACGATGCTTTTGCTACGAGCCAGCCTTGATGGCCGTTTACGAAATTCGAGAATACTAAGCCGTACGACGAGCGGCATGGCATGGCGTCATGGGAAAGGATTTCGGCGCTTAAATCGTATTGATATTTTCCCTTCTATTATCTGTTATTTGTATATTTGGGGACTGAATGGGGAAGCCACAGAGCTCGACCTCTTACAAGAATTATGTAGCAATAGATGCAGATACTCTCAGTTGGATGAGAACAAGAGAATAGTCCTAAACCACTTGCGCAAACACAGCACTGCCCGCGACTATCTTTATTGCAAGACCTTCCAGATAACACGTGAACCGAGAATGCCCCAAGTGAAAATGATCGTAAAATAGTTTGTACATTCGTCTAACGCCGCATAGCATGCCCAGGATCTAATGCAATCCAATAGTTGTACAGTGATATTTCCATCTTCGTATAAAATCATTCCTGCCTCCATTCTTTCACGTCCATGACCTAGCAGGCACCTCTTTCCTAGCCGTATACTCAATTTATGCCTGGGAGGGAGCCATTGAAAGAATCTTGCTCCACTTCTTCCTCTTCAGCTCGGCACCTACGACGCCGTTGATTCGAGAGCCAACGGGATCTCCAGCCTTGTTGAGGAGGACGCAGGCATTGTCGTCGAACTTGACGCAGGAGCCATCGCGGCGCTGGACGGGGTATCTGGTGCGGACAACGACGGCGTGTCGGATATCTCCTCGCTTGACTTTGTTTGCGGCGGACACACCAGCCATACCTGAGGCGGAAGCCCCCCGATGTTCCTTGACGACTACCACGATGCGGTCACCTAGGCGCGGAATCTGATTAACAGGGTGTCCAAGCGCAATCAACCAGAAGAGGCAAGAAATTGTGGTCGGTCGGCTTGAAGATAATTCGATCGAGGAAAGAGGGAGAACCTATGCATACCAATTTGGGCAGCCCGCTTCTGTCCAATGACCAGAGCACACTCGACCAGCGCGGCACCGGAGTTGTCGATGCAATTCAGGACGGTCTGTGGACCGAGTTTATTAGCATCCGGACATCTGAGAGAGCTGTTCGATTTCATTTACCTTTAATTGAATCATTTTGTCGGCACCACCTGGGACGGCAAGAGGAGCTTCACCAATCTGCTTTCACCATCACCATCTTCATGACTGCCATTTGGCGTTGAACTTTTCCACATCCAGCAGGTCACGTGGCTCGCAAGGGTGCCCCATTACGTGTGTAATGATTGGCTCGCGCACCCGGCCGAGAAAGCTACCTAATTTGGAACAGACATGCCTTCACACCAGACAAGCCAAGCAAATCACACAACGCTGCCCCCTGCCGCCGTGCTGTATGGTCTGTGCTCGTCGCCTGGCCAGCGACCCGACTAGCTAAAGGTGGCTGGAAGCAAGCAAATATACCCAAAAGGAATGGGGGGTGGAGGGGAGCCGAATAACGAGCCCCCTTCCCTTCCTCCACGCCAAGTCCCTCAGCAGCGCCTCATCAGTTCGTTATGACTTTGTCCTCAAATCATCCTCACCTTCATTCCTCCCCTTGCCCTGGACCGCTCTCTCCAGTTTTTCCTTTTTGACTTTCTGTCTGTTCTTCTGGGCCTACCTTGCCTCTCATTCTTACATACTCACTGCACCAAACGGCGCTTCAGTTAGCACTAGCCACACACACCTGAGAGACTCGAGTGTTAGCGGTTCAGCCGCCGTCGCCGCTGTCGTTTCGTAGCATGACGTTACCTTCCTTCGAGAGCTGAGCGGGTCGCAAACTCACCAAAGCTTTGGTGCGCTTTTCGGTATTTAGTTTTGTCTCTACGGGATTTTTTGCTTTCCGGGTCTTCTTCTTTGCATTTCATTTCGGAATTGGGATTAGAGCATTTTGATTTCAGCGATCACAACGTTTCAGCCGCTCTGGCTCTCTTCCGTTGCTTGGGGCCAACACTACTCTCACAACAGCCGCCCCCGAGCTTACGACCACGTTTACCAACCAAATTGTCCAAGTTTGCCCAGCCTTTCCGCCCAGTCTGGCTACACACCTAAGCGATTGCTCAGGAGCAGACAGGCGCAATGGGTCGCTCGCAGCCAGTGCCCGCAAAGAAGCAGGCATTGACTCTAGCACAGTTGGCTGCGTATGACGATATCTCGACCGATGCACTCGTTGACCATGTGAGTGCCGATTCTTCTTGCTATCGGGGCTGACCAAGAGAGGAGCCCCTCGCTGACCATGAAATTAGGTGCTTTACTGGACTTCGGTGCCCAAGAACCGATCCACCTACCACCCGTCTCGTGGTGTAAAGGGGGACGAGATTGTCAAGATCGTTCAGGAGGAGCTTGTGCTGAAGAAGGACCTCGATGGAGCGATGAAGAGATTAATGGCGACCGACGGCATCCGCAGGTTCGCCAATTGTCTAAAGACCGACAAGGAAAAGGACGACTTCCAACGACACCTCAGACGCTATACGCAAATCTACTTGCCTGACTGCCCTTGGGAGGTCAATTCAACCAATCGCTACACCATTGTGAGCCACGAGGCCGCCATCACAGCACGACGATTTATCCGGCGCAACGAGTCCATCAAGTACCTGTCCGGCATTCAGGTTGTCATCACACCCGAGGAAGAGAAGGAGATGACTACCCGCAAGAAGGACTTTAGCATTGTGGTCAGCTCGAGGAACAAGTGTACCAGCCTGTTCATGGGCCCTGCCCGTTTTGCGAACCATGACTGCGATGCCAACGCAAAACTAGTCACCACAAGTCACGCCGGTATTGAGATTATTGCAACTAAGGATATCCAGTCAGGAGACGAGATTACGGTTACATACGCAGAACATTATTTCGGAGAGGACAATTGCGAGTGTCTCTGCAGATCATGTGAGGAAAATCTACGGAACGGCTGGGAGCCGGAGGATGGGACTGTCCCTGCCCGGGGGAGCGTTGAGGAATCTAGGCCCGAAATCTACTCATTACGACGGCGGAGGAGAGATGACAGCATCGGTGGTTCATCCAGAACATCTTCTGTGACACCCATCGTCCGCCCCAAGGTTCCAAAAACCAGGTTCAAGGGGTCTCGCCTCAGTGCTGCAGGTGATGCCTTCTCCGCGGCCGGGTCCCCCGTGCCAGACCAATCTCCACGAGGACGGAAACGACCGATTGACGCACTGGCTTCACCACCCAAAACGCCATCAAAGAGGCTAAAATGCCTGACTGGTGCTCGCGCCTCTGAGAGTGTTACTTCGAGGAGCTGTTCAATGTCCCGCAGTGGCTCTTCGAGCGGAGGGGAAGCTGTCGAGACGGATGTGACATCACCAGAAAAAGAGAGTCCCGAACCGACAATGCCGACTCCTGCCAAAGAATCGACTTCACTGCAGATGAAGATGCACCTGGCAGCGGATCCCAAGAGCATGACGATTCAGTCGATTCTCAACACACCCACCACCGAGACACCGCAGGAGCAGGCTGATTTCAGTCCTATTGCTGTGAGCATCGAGCCTGTCGAAGAGGGGGACTCGGTTATGCCAGAGGAAGATGCCCCAAAACCGACCAAGAAATACCAACGAAGAGTTTTTATCAAACAAACCACACCTCCAGCTCAGCATCGCACACCGGGCGACTATGTTCTCACGCCGCTTCTTCTCTCGGAGCCAGCCATGGCATGGATCCAGTGCTCTGTTTGTCCGACATATTTTGTACAGCAGAACGCATACTTTACAAGATCCTCCTGTCCACGATGCGAGAGACATTCCAGAATTTACGGCTACATTTGGCCTAAGACGGACAGGGCCGGTCCTTCAGACAAGGAGGAACGTGTTCTAGATCACAGGACGATCCATCGGTTCCTAGACCCCAATGACGAACGTAGGGCACGTGGGAGAAAGATGGCTACAAAAGAGGTTACACCAGAAGAGGAATCTGAAGAAGAGGAGTCCCCTCCACGGGGTCGACGCATTAAGAGAGGGCGCCCAAGAAAGTCAGACCAGCAGAAGAGAGTGGCGGAGGAGTCGGCTCCGCGGGCCAAGTCAGCACCTGAATCTGCCAGCGGAGTCCGACGTAGTGGTCGAAGCCGTAGGGTGAGTAGCAAGCTTGTTGAATGTTAGTCTCTGGTTTGGCAGTGGCTGGCTCCCCGCACGGGTTCTGGACGAGTGAATTTTCCATGATGTCATGGGAGTTAGTGAGTTGGTTCTTGTTTTTGTTTTCCGAATTTTCAAGCATATCTTATACCCCTTTCGGTTCATGGGGGACAATATGATAAAGCAACATCTCTTCCAATCATTCCTATAGAAGATGTAGTCAAGCAGAACGAGAGACGTCCTGGATTTGACAATATAGCCTAGCATAATTGAACACCGACGCATTTATTCCGTTATCTCTACTATTCCTCAGACCTTTGTTTACACAATATCGGGAGATTCCATCTAACAGCTGCACGCCAGCCCCTGATCGATGTGGAGGATCACGAGAAAGATCCAGAGCTGCTAGGTCACTCGCGACGCGATTTGAACGATTGGCTAGCAAAATTCTCTTCAAAAACCTGGAACACGAGCCTAATACAGCCACATCGACGACTTTCTAAACCTTAAGGGATGTTTTCTTCTTTCCAAGCCATTTTCCGAAGAATCTAACTATGTGTCCGACCTCACCGATAACCGCTCTGTCTCACGCCCAGCACATTTGCGTGATGAGCTCTCGTCGAGCTGTATCAACCGGCTCGCCACTCTGAGCTTGACGATGGCTTTTATGGTATCTGAAGCTGGGGGCTACCATAATTACTTGACCTAACAGCAAAATTCCGTGGCGTATTTTGGCCAGCGGTTTATTCGTTCCATGAAGAATTTCTATTTTTCTATCTTCGCGTCGCGTTTATCAACATTAGATACCCAATTGGTACCTAGTACGCTCAGCGGGAAGGCGATTTAGATCGTCACGGTATCCTCCAGTCATTACATCTCCATCGCAAATAATATCAACATAAATATGAATATCAGTCCAGACTTCAATCCATATGGGTCAAACTTTCGAAATTTTCCTCCTCATAGGCTGTCTATTCGTCCTCATCCTCGATGATCACCATGAGAGTTTCCCAGCGCATAAACGAGATTGTAGGAGGGGGCCAACAAACTTTATACAACGCGAAAACGGTGTCATGAGTTATTATCAAGGAAATCAAAACAAGTGTCGCCCCTTTCCCACAAAGTCTGCCCAATCTGACTGGCGGGCTAGAGAAGATCATAAAAGGGGCCAGATTCCTGGATCGCCCGCATTCGATTGCCAACTTGGTACCCAGTGTCTCTTCTCCCCGGACAGCCACCTTGGCGGATTTCTACCTTTGTTTTAATTTGGTTTATGTTCCATCTCAGTCGCTAGTCCCCAACGATGCGATTTACACAAGCCGCGCAGATCCTCCTGGGCCTCCCACTACTATGTGTCGCGGCTCCGGCCAGCGGCAAATGGTTCGAGGAAATCCTATGCCGCGTTGATGCAGACTGCAGGCCCAAGATGGTCTGCACCATCATCTGGCCCGCAATTGGCATGGGTACATGCATGACCAAGAGGGAGAAGAAGGGCTTCGAGGACATTAAAACCCTAATCGAAGCTGGCATGCCGGCACTGAGTCCAGTCCCCGTTCCTTCCAAGGCTCCTGCTGCTGCTCCTGTCCCTGCGGTTGCTCCTGCGGCTGCCCCTGCTGCTGCCCCTGCTGCTGCCCCTGCGGCTGTTCCTGCGGCTGCCCCTGCTATTGCTCATGCTGCTGCCCCTGCTGTTGATCCTAATGCCCTTGCCAACCTTATTAATAGAACGCTGGAGGAGCTTATGGCACAGAAGAAAGGCAAAAAGGACAAAAAAAAGAAGCCCAAGGGCAAAATTACGTATGAGGAGTATCAAGAGAACAAGTGGAAGGGGAAGAAGGAGCAGGCAAAGGAGCTTGATGAAAAGGCAGACAAGAGGAAGGAAGAGGAAGCGTTACTAGAAGCAAAGGAACGGCAAATAAAGCTCGAGCGAGAGGGGACAAGGGAAGAGGGAGAGAAGATTGAAGCAGAGGAAGAGCAGCCGACCAAAGAGGAAGAGCAGCTGACCAAAGAGGAAGAGCAGCCGTCCAAAGAGGAAGAGCAGCCGTCCAAAGAGGAAGAGCAGCCGTCCAAAGAGGAAGAGCAGCTGACCAAAGAGGAAGAGAAGAAGAAGGATAAGGAAGAGAAGGTGGACCTTGCGCCAAAGAACAGGAAGGGAAAGAAGAAGAAGGGCAAGGGAAAGAAGAAGAGCAACGATTAAGCGAGAGAAAAGCCCTACGCAAACAGTAAGTCATTCTGGTCAAACATCCACCTTTTATATCTATTTCCAGCTAACAAGGCTTTGAAGTTAATATCAACACCAATGGCTCAGCGAGCCATATGTTAGCTGGTCATTTTTATCGCGAACTTGCCCAGTTTTCTTTGTTCTCTGCTAGTGGAACTGCGCACCTTTAAAAATGGTTAAATCAGGGAGTAATCATTTCAAAGGAAATTTTCATGCTTTGGGATTTCAATGTTACGTTTATATCTTGGTGATGAATGCATTTTGTACTGGCAAAGTGCCGTGGTCATTATGGGGGAAACCCCAGCAAAACAAGAAGAAAATATTCTAGGGATTGGCTGTAGCTTCAGGTACATTCCAAATCGACACAATCTGTATAGATCAGGGGGAAATAGTCCTTTCTCAGAAATTGCCTCCCTAAAGACTCTCACCCTTGTCCCGAACCGCATACCCCTTTCGAGGCAGAATCTTCTCCTCTAGTTCTACGAGAGTCTTGGGTAAGTTCAACCCAATCCCAAAGAAGACAAAGATAGCCCACTTCCACCGAAATGGGTTGAATGCCACGCAAAACGTAAACCACCAGACCAGCTCAAGATAGGTGAAGAAGTCAAAGGCGCCTGTTGGGCTGCTTCGCTTCAATACGGTTGTAAGGTCGATCCATCGCTGCATCCAGAAAGGAGAGGGCCGTGTGAGCGGATCTGTGAGGAACATAAGGAGAATTCGAGTGTATATCCCAATGTGCCAGTTACCCACGGACCCAATGGCGGCCACGTAGGTACAGTTGATAGCGGAGATGGAAGGATGGGCTGGGGGGAATGTCTGGAGATACCAGTTCGGGGGTCCGTAAGGCTCCTTGAAGCTGTCCTCGGGCAGAAAAGACAGCGATGGTCGTTTGAATCCGGTCGCCATAACGATAATGTCGGCATCGATGACTTCCTCGTGTCCCGGGCCTCCCTGCGGCACACCTTTGGCCCTGCGGTTGACAATGACACCGCGGTCACAGAAGCCGTCGATGTCACCACGAACCCATTCTGCTTGCCCTTTGCGAAGTTTATCCATTACATCAGAATTCACCATCGGGGTGTCCATATACAGACCCTTTTCAGCTGGCGCTATATCTTCCAAATCTCGGTAGAATAACTTTTTAAGAAGGAATTCTGGGATGAAGGAAAAGCTCGTTTCTTGACCGAAGATGTTGAAACTTAGGAGGACATCCACTACTATGTTCCGAGGAATAATCCACTTGTCTGAGCGCGATAGGATGGAAATCTTGCCAGCTTTTGCAGACGCGGCAAATTCGAGTGCCTCAACTGCTGAGGCACCACCTCCGATAATGGCAAGTCTCTTACCCTTGGCCTTTTCCCTGTGGCTGCAAGGTGTTATAAAAAGGTTCAAGGATACTGAATGGGTTTGGCTGCTTCATGTACTTACCTAGTAAGGTCGCTTGAATGGTAAATCTCGCCTTTGAACTTATCAGCTCCAGGGAACGACGGCATCTTGGGCTCGCCACATGTTCCAATGGCGGGGATAAGACCGTCAAAGCGGCCGTTGGAGGTGTCATTGATGATCCATCTGCCACGGTCGTCCTGGTAAACCTTGTTGACCTTGAACTCGAATCTGGTCTTCTTCTCAAGGCCGTAATCTTTCCAGATCTTGCGCACTTGGTCGAGGATCTGCTGACGATTGGGGTAGCCGCTCTGCCAGGTGACAGAAGGGTGGAATCGGTACATGATCGAGTGGATCTGCAAACCCGACTCCTGGTTCACTCTCTGTGCGGAATATTGATTAGAGAGGGAATACAAGGCAGCCATATACCTCAACTTACACTCCAGATGCCACCAACCTGGTCGCTAGGACCCTGTTCGAAGATGGTGACGTCGAACCCATGACCAACACAATGGGCGGCTGCGGCGATGCCCGTGATGCCAGCCCCAACGATGGCAATCTTTGGCCGTTTGAGCTCATTATCTGAACGAGGCGGGTTGGGAGCAATAGTCTTGTGTATGATCCATTGCAGTATCTGATAGAGAAAGAGCAGGGGGTGGAGGAAAGGGTTCTCGACCTGAGATCGCGAGGCCATCGTGATGGTTGCAGCAGCACTTGGTCCAAGGGGAGAAGCTGCACGGAATAGCCAGATTGATGGAACTGGAAACAAGAATGGAAGCTAGCTAGAAGACCAATTGAGGCGGGTAAGGCTTTTTGTCTCTTCAAACACCCCTGCCGAAGATGGATGGTTGTGAGTCGAGCCTCGGACGGCTTATGATTTCGCGGATAATAGTGACGTCAATAATACTCAATCTTCACATGGCATCTCCCATCGTATCAAATCTTCACATGCTCGAGCCAATTGAACCCACAGTCAATTTCTTCATAAGGCCACTCGTTTCCGGGTCCATCCGCTATTTACTTGTGATGGAGACCTGTCATTCCAAGCGTCTTCTCGTGTTATGCTTGTGATTCGCTAGAGTGAGCGACGTCATCGCCAATCTGCCTCACGGGCCAAACTCACTCTACAATAACTGGGTCTGGAGCCATTCAAATTATACTCGCATTCTGTACACATCTTCAGTACAGTGAGCCTACTTTATCCAATCACTTGAAGAAGAATATTTCTTCATCAATTAATGATTGTGGTCAAGATACTACATCGCTCTTCTCAAAAGAAACTGCCAGCAGCATCATGGAGCATCCAGGTAAGCAAGCAAACACCATCTCCCAGAGAGATCTTAGTCACCTCGTGTTAGGACATTGACAAAATTGATTCCCTCAATAGTGAAAGAGATCGAAGGTGTTATCACCTCCCTCACCAAGGGCAGCCCGCCCGAGCAAGAAGAGACTCTCTACAACTATTTCCTATCCAACGCTTCATTCTCCCACCCTTTTTGCTATGTCCCGCCACTCGCCAAGGGGTCGGTTCCCTTTGCCCCGGCCATTGACTCGGCCTGGCTCATCTTGGGTATCTATCGCTGGTACCGCACCCTGAGCCCCAACATCGACATCACTATAGATTCCGCAGGTGTGTAGTATCCCCTTCGTTCACCAGAGTCCAGCAACCGTGGAACCTAACGTGCTAAACCTCACAAGTATTTGATCAGCGATCTGGGACTCTCTACGTCTCCATACGGCAGACTTTCGCTGTGTGGTTTATTCCCTTCTACAAGGCCCATGTCAAGCTCGTCTCAGTGCTGCGTCTGACTCAACGCACGTCATGGGCCCCCGAGGAGACCGTCGCGAGGAGAGCCCTCGCCGAGAGCAGGGAGCCCGCGGCTCTTGCCGGTCCCGGCCGCGAAAGAGCCCGTTATTACATCTCCAGCCAGGAGGACCTTTACACCATCAATGACTGCATCCGATTTCTAGTCCCCGGTGTCGGACCGTTGCTATGGTGTCTTTGGCAGCTGTACAGCACGCTGCTCTGCGTTGTAGGGTCTCTGGTCTTCATGCCCCTCTACCTAGTCTTGAATAAAAGCAAGGTCAAGGCAAGGTAGTATAGCTTTCTTCCTAGTAATACAACTAGTTATTTTCTCTTTTCCTTCTACTTCGATAGAAAGCACAGAGCATGATGATGATGATGATGATACGGAACTGAAAAGGAGATCAATTGACTGGAATACAATACTATCTTTGTTACCGTTTCAGAAAGGACAACGTGAAAAAAACACAATCCAAGATAGGCTATGAAATCAAGTGCTATGCTTTCAGTCACGAAACTGCTTGATTGTATGATCAGAACCGCTAGGGAAAGTCGTCAGAGCTTCGATGGCGATCCGGTCGGCTCATATACCTGAAACTCCACGCCGGTGACTTGACCCTCCTTCATCACCCGCCGAAGGATCTTTCCACTGGGCGATTTGGGGATCTGGTCAACAAACACGATACCCCCCCTCAGCCTCTTGTACCTCGCCGTGTGTGCTTCGACAAGATCTCGCAACCGGTATGCGAGGGCTTTGAGCTCTGAGTGCGTCTGTGCCGTCGTCGCAGCAACAACAAACGCACGCGGCCATTCGGTCGCTCTCTCTGCGTCGTAGATGCCTACCACTCCGGCATCTGCGACCTCTTCACTACTACAAATGACAGCTTCAATCTCTGCCGGCGGCACCTGGAACCCACGGACCTTGATAAGTTCCTTGATCCGGTCTGTGAGGCGGATACTCCCATCCAGGTTGATAGTGCCGACGTCACCAGTCCGAAGCCAACCGTGTGGTGTCAGAGCTTCGGCTGTGGGCGAGGGGCCGCTGAGCTGATCCGTTGAAAATAACCCCCCCACAGGCATGTATGTCATCATCAAGCCGGGTGATCGGGTGAGAACCTCACCAGGCTCCCCAATCTCGGCAGGGACGAGCCCACGCTCCCCGGGGACATGGGTGGCAATCATAACTTCAACCCCCCAGTGCGGCTGGCCGCTATCGTCCCGTTGGGCTTGCATCTCTTTCTCATTGAGACCAGGTTGGCACGCGACATTGCCAGCCTCGGTCAGGCCGTATCCCATACGAATGCGGAAGCCGAGTCGAGCGAATACCTGGGCAATGATATCGTGACCCAATGGCGCACCGCCTGTGACGCCGGCGATGACGCTGGAGAACCGGTTACGGCCACGGCTGTCACGCTTAGCGTAGGGCTCAACGAGGGGTGATTTGGCCAATGCTACTGCTACCGGCGGTGCCAAAACCAGATAGGTGATCTGGAGACGGGGTATAGCGGCTAGCACAGTCTCGAGCTTGAATGCCGGCAAGGTATACACCGTTGATCCGGTAGGGATGGCCAGGAGGAGAAGATTCAAAAGGCCGTAGACGTGGAAGAAGGGGACGAAGCCCAGCCATCGCTGGCGTTGGCGCAGGTAGAAATCGGCGTCATGCCAGAGTGAGGTGACTGAGAAATTCAGCGACTGATGGGACAACAGCACGCCTTTCGAGCGACCGGATGTCCCAGATGACCATAAGATGAGCGCGGCCCGCGTAGCCGGGTCGAATCGGCTAGGTGTGGAAACATGATGCCTCGAGGCCGTCAGGAGCTTCCTCCAAGAGTTCTTCGTCTCCTTGTCCTTGTCCTTCCCTTTCTCCTTCTCTTGCTTTTCTGCAATGGGGACTGGCGAAGGATATGTCTCACCAGCAACATCAACAGTATATACAGTGACGCTATCGAAGAACAACCTATCCTTCTGGGAACGGATGGCCGCTTCCATTGCAGGTAGGCATGCTGTAGACGTGATGATAACCCGAGGCCGGGCTGTTTGCAAGATCCATCCTATCTCTTTGCTTGCCAGGGCGGGAGAAACCAAGGTAGCGGTCAGGCTGGCCGCCAGTGTTCCCAACAGCAAGGATGGAAATGGTAGACAGTTGGGCAGTTGGATAAGAACAACTGGGGCGACCTCTGGTCGATGGCAATTAGGTGAAGGGGGTAATGACTGAAGATCATGGGGGTCCAAGCCATGAAGCGACTGGAGACTAGAGGCCAGGGATAAAGCATCCCGTCTCAATTGGGCCTTGGTAAGAATGTGGCCTGCGGATTCAGAGACTGGTTAGCTGTGCTGGACACAGGCGAGAAATGGCATGAAGAGGCAGAAACGAGACGAACCGTTGGCTTCGTCCACGAAGAGGGGGCGGCCATCCTCAACTCGGGGGACGCGTTGCTGGGAAGGAGTAAAGTCACTCTCTTCCTCGAAGGGGTTACTGAACAGCCAGCTAAAAGTGTTAGCCGAAGCAAAAGCAACGGTGGGAGCGCCTCGGCCCGTCCAAGCTGCGGCGCCGCTCATCCCCACGCTGGATCTAGCTCTGTGTGTTCTGTCTCTCACACCTTTGCGGTGTTTTGGACTACGGTGCTCTGGACACGGCACACAGAGATCGGCCCATGAGGTTTAGATATGTTCAGAGGTTGGGCATCTATCTACAAACCAGACAGCGCCAGTCAGTGAATGGTTGAACAAGGACGCGATTCCGAACACCGCCTAAACATATCCTGTTTTAGTAATCTTCAGCGCTAAAGTAGCACTGAAAGGCTGGTGGAAATGCGCGGCAGTCCAGGGTAGTTGGTGAATCGAAAGGGGGGCGTCACGTGCCAGGAACAGCTACAGGTAATTTCGCTTCTTATTCGCAAGATCTTCCAAGTACATACATTAATGCATATCTACCATACCTCCGCTTCCGTCGAAGGTCCGTTTCATCCCTTCCAAGCCGATGCAGGGTGATTGGCTTCGGCCCATCCATTCACGTGGCCAGCCCAAGCCGAGGCTTGTCTTGCCTATGATTAATGGATTTGGCAACATATAGAACAAGCATCAAATACAATAAGTGTTATGCCGCCATGCAGCAAGCAGATCCAAGGCGCATTATAAAATTACTTTGACTCGGCCACCTCCAATATTGTATGCAACCCCGGCGTCCACATGGCTCGCCTGCCACCCATATTAGTTGTGATCATCACTTCATGATCACTCCCCTGGCATGCATAGTGCGAGTTCAGCTCCAGCGGGATCCAGCATACGCACGCCCACGCCACCGTCAATGCGATGTCCAGCAGAGACAACAGCCTCTCCAGCCCGGGGATCGACTCATTCGAGAAGGCTAACACGAGCAGAACCGCCATAACTGTCACGAAGTTGATGAAAGCGAGCTGTCTTGCCACAAGCGCTGTATCTTGGTCCACCTTGTGTTGTGAAACATCGTCACCTAACCGACAGTGTCAGCACCAAACAGCATTATTTTTGATTCGTACTATCCATTTTCAAACTCCATCGTGAGAGAGAAAAGGGAAACGTAATCAAATGCGCTACTCACTGAGAATTCTTCGACGCATGAACCTGTGCAGGTGGTACGATATGAAGGGGAGAACAGTGAGGCCAAAAGCATGACAGATGAGCCCTGCAGCCGCATACAGATGAGGTTAGTGAGAAGAACGAGTCACGGGCATCTTGGGCGCATTTCATATGAGTAGGGACACTTACCGGCAGATACGTTGCCAGCCTTGAATATTGGCAGCTCAGCCGTCAGTAGTCCAGAAAACGGGGCCATGATCATGGCAAGACAGCTTCAAGTCTCTCGCCTGCCCCCAGCTAAATCAGCTCATTGGAAGAAGAAGAGCAGTCCCGTACGCTTCATTGTGGGGGAAGAGGATTGCTGTGGGCTCCTCCTGATATGTATCTGTCCGACCTGAACCTTGTCTTCGAAGCTATCCGACTTGGGGCCCGTGAGAGGGAAGAGATTCTCTTTGCACAGGTATGCGATCGTCGCGTCTAGCGCGTCCCGGTCTTTCTACCCCCTCCGTCTCTACCTTATCGTACGCCAAAGCTGAGATAGAGGGGACTGCTTGGCATTGAATTTAAAAGCACATGGCCGAGAACGGCATTGACTCCTTACAGAACCGGATGGTCCTTATGGTTAGGCACCTGACTTCTGTTTCATCCATGCCTTCCACCTACAAACCCGTCAATCGAAAGCCTTGCATACCTTGTGGGTATGTAGTGAAAACGGAGGGGAGAGGGATGGGCAAGGGAGAAAGGACCCTGTCTCAGTCACTTCGCCCGTTCTAGGCCTCCAAGTAGGCGTCAGAATAACAACGACTACAAAGGTGTTTCAATCCAACTTTCTAATACGAGTAAAGACAAAGTAATTATGAGGTAGTATTATTTAGCTATTATTATACATTAAGAAGTTATCATATGACTGGCTGCTACAATGATTCTCTCATGGTGCCGTTGCATTCCCTGTTTTTCCGACAGCCACTTGGCCTCTTCTTTCAGGAACAGCCGGTTTGTTCCTAAATATCCAATGAATTTGTTCCCCTAGAGTACTTCCTTCGTCCATGGCTGGCCCTTACCAAATACCAACGCAAATGGCCGGTACAGGGCCTGGCATTCCATCCTTATGTGATGCCTAACTTCGTACTGCCTCCCTTTGGGAATTCTTCCAACCTATCCCGTCGAATTGATTTAGACTCTCCCTGTGGACTTGTAATATTGGTGGATTTACTTCTAACCGGCAATAAAATACACTAAAACCTGAAGATATAAAACTGTTTCTTGATCACACAATCACAGAATCCTATCTCCATGTTTGTGACCATGCCATCTCGTGCCTTTTGCGCAATATCCTGTGCTTCTCTCAGCTTTCCAGGGCAAAAATCGAAGCCTTGATGCTGAATAGCCAGCCTAAAGACTGATGTATCAAGATTCAATACTCTCCCATTGATAGTTCTGCTATATTTCTACTATTTACTATCCCTCATTCTAAAAAACAGAGTTGAAAAACTGATCAGATAGACGGTTAGTCTCCGCTGTCTATATTGTATACTCATGCACAATATGCCTGCCCGAGCTTGTAATAATAAACCGTCTTTAAACGAAGAAAGGGACTCCTCTGACTGCTACTAACATTACTAATGTAGATTAGAAGGTCACAAAATCTTTTTCTCTCCCTTTAAGAGCCCGGCATGATAAAGCCCGTTCGCTATGAAGATTTCCTTCCCTCCCACGTGGACACATCATTTTCCCTCACCTAGAGTCGTTAGAATATTTTCGATATGACGTATAAGCCTCTGAATTCTTCCGGTAGGTCTCCGAGTCTGACCTGTACGCATCCGAGTCCTTGCGCTTCTGTTGGGAGAAGTTGATGGACATCTTCGAAGTGCACACTAGCTCTTGCTCGCCAATGACGCTGCGTTGAATCTTATCTCGTAGAATGGTCTCCTCAATCTGGTTCTCTATTGATCCGTCGAAGCTAGTCGCGTATATTCTCGTCTCGATTCCAGGGCTTGCTGCGCTTTCCCGGATGGCACACTCAGCATCTCCCATATTCAGGTCGCTCAAGTGGTGGCTACGTTTCTGGTATGATCCACTGGAACCAGCGTATCCATATAGAACTTTAGTCCATAGCGCGCGGATCACGGGAATTGATGCACAGAGTGCTGAGACGAAGTTCTCCGTTCCCGAGTAGATGAGCATATTTGTGGTGTCATCTGTAGGGGGTTGGTCAGCACGGAGAATGACGGTTTGTGGAAGGACGGAGATCACTCACAAATATATTCTTCATGCGACCGGAGGCTCTGTATCGCCGTGGTTCGAAGTATACCACATATTCCAGCCCTGGGGAGGAAGAGTCAGCCCTTGATCATATGTCTACTCGTTCTCAGCCCTCCCAGGGAGTTACTCACAGAACACCCAGGCTCAGGCCGCAGATGGTTACAATCTTGTCTTTACGTTTCATATTCAATTCCCAAATAATGAAACAGGGCACAGTTCCCAGGGCAAAATCAATACAAACCGCATATACTAAGTCAAATTAGCACGGACAAGACCATCATTCACACTTATTCACTCACTCACCCGATGTAGCCAGAGCAACTTTGGCTAAATCTAGCCAACAGTGTCCCTCAACATTCGGATTCCATATTTTGTCTACCGGAGTGCAGTGGATGAAGACGGCGATGGTGCACCACGTGGCGATGATGGAGTTGGTCACGAGGCAAAACCAGATGTAGACCTTGTGCCAGGTCTGTGTCACTATTCGCAGCAACAGAAACGCTACCGCCCCTTTGCTGGCGACAAGGTTGAAGATGCTCAAACCTTGAGCAATGGCTTCCCACTTCATTGCTTCAATGTAATCCTCCGGGGCAATGTCAGCTCTGCGTTGCCCAACGCCATAGCTCGTGCCAACCGCGACACAAGACGAGAACGTGACAAGGAGCAACTACGTCGTAGCTCGTCAGCGACTCATCTCATATTCAACCCAATAATTTCCGTTCACTCCTGTAATGAGAAGTCTTCACATACAAGGGAAACTATCAAAAAATAATCATCCAGTCCTAAACTGTGTAGGATGAACCTGCGGGTATAGCATCGCGCAAGGACAAAAAATGTGGCGATAGCAGTCTCCGTCCAAAGGACCGCGTTTATCAAAGGGCCATTTCCACCGTATACCATTCTTATGGTGTTTCTAGAGTATGACTGAGGGAGGAAATCGATACACAGAGCTCCAGAAATGAGGAGACTGAATGCAAGGGGGGCTACAGTCAACGAACGAACGAACGAACAAAGAACGCCGAACAACGACGCCCGCAAAACCTCAGGAACGAGTCTTATTAAGTAACATAGCCTGGCCTATGCTGAAAGTCCATGAGGGAGGACTGTTGGAGTCAAAAAAGGCCAAGCAGGGGGGTGGCAAGAAACGCTAGGCAGCCACATGCTTTGATGCCATGCAGCTGGTTATTCTTTTGATTTTCGTGTGTTTTTTTCATCTATTGGTTTTGCCTTTTTATGATAATTTGCCTCCCTCCTCTCGTCGACCTTGAGTGTGACTTTCATTGCTTGCATGACACAGCAGTGAAAAAGCAAGTTCGTCAATGCTGAACCAGATTCCACAGGAGGGAGCGAACACTGTATGTATGCATCTCCGGAGAAAAAAAAGAAAGAAACCCCACATCGCTATTTCAAACGGACCTTAAGCCCCAAGTGAAATTCCACGCTCGAAAGTATGGTGATCTTCCATAAAGGGGTCCCGTGATAGGCGAGTCTGCGGATCAGCGCCAGCTAGATGGGGCGAGATCCTCGGCGCCCAAGGTGGAAAGCGACGTAGCAATGCCCTGGGATATGCCGTGCAGCATGCTTCACGCAAACATCACGCCAGAATCTGCGTGGCAGCCAGGGACAGGGACCTCTACCACGCGGAATAAACAGGGCTAGCATCGATGAGGCGCCTCTTATATGCAGCTGGGATCACCGATAGCTTGCATTGCAGCAAGCTAAAAGCAGAAACTGGACGGTCTCACGAGGCAAGAATTAATTGTTAAATGCTATTGATTTACACCAAGCATGATCCACACTAACAGAGCTTTTTACTCTGACTCTTCTATTCTTCACGAGACAACATCGCAGTCTGAGGTATACCGGATCCTTTTAAGACCGCACCAAAGACCGGTTGCCTCTTCTCTAGCCGTTGCTTTCTTTTTCTTCTTCTTGTAGCCGAAGCAGGCAACTATGAAACCTTCATACTCCTTCAGCGATTGGCTCCTCAGATCTAAATGGATCCCCAACCTTCAGTTTAATCTTTTCTATAGGGCAAGGAACCCAGGGCCATCCCTGTGGATATGCTTTCGTGGTTAATTGGACGTTAACGGGTGATATCTTATAACATTATGTAGCGATCATATCTTATGGTTCTCTGTCTGGTCAGGGTTGGTTGCGGGAATTTCCAGCATCCAAGATGCACATACACGGGGACTCTACCAAGATCATGGGTAAATCATTGGAGATTTAATTATGAGCGTTCCATGTACCAATTGAAGCAAATCGGACGGGTACAGCGTAGGTAAGATGGAGCAGTGTCTGGATCCCAGTCCCTTGAATGCCGTGTGGAGATTCTCTCCTCCCCTCCACCCCCCATAGAAAGAAAATGTTCCGGTTAGCGATGATAGTTGTCCAATCGCGTTTTTTTCCTTGGGGAGAAGTGTCCCACCCCCTTAGTAGACGTTAAATGTCAACTTGATTGGCGAAGCCGAGAAGAGTCTCGCGGCCGCTTATTGCCTCTCTTCTGTGCAGGTTGACGTGACCCCTCACAAACCGACACTCCCCGCAACTTTCTCTAAGTAGTGACTGTAGGACCCGAGTGACATATTCCTGGGAGGCTTGCATTGGTTTCTCTCTTTGCCAAGGAAAAAAAAGCATCTAAAATGCACAAATCATTGCCCACCTAAAGTATTCTCTTATGTCTTCATCATCTGCCCTCGTGCCTGGACATCCCCAATCAGCCCGGGTTTCCTTGCCCTGTTCAAAACTGGAACTGATCTAGTTATTTCTTTGCCTTTCTGGGGAAAGATGCTTCTTCGTTCTCCTTTTCCCCTTTGCCCCTTTATTTTCCAGGGTTTAGCGCCAGTAGTCACATCATCATCACAATAGAGAGCCCGACAATCAAGATTATTGGCTTAGCCCCCTCTTTGCTTTTTCTTCGCTTCCCAGGCGACCTCCTCTTTTGGTTACCTCCCTAGACCAATCTAAATACAGACTCACAGGAACTTGGTG